GGAACTAATATGGGGTGAATAATTAGAGGCAGACAGGTGAGCACAATGACGGTGATTAACTAATGATTAGACAGGCTAAACCAACACAAAGGGAAGAAACCACAACAAACAGTCCACAGGGGCGTTACAGCTACAGCGTGTGCCACTGTATTAGCACTGCATTATTGCATGCAATTGAAGAGCATGCACTACAAGCACAGTATAATGGCTAACAGCAGAGGCGTACCTACAGGAAGTGGGGGCCCCAGGCAAAATTAATCAGTGAGGCCCTTCTAAAAGATTTTTTATTTTTTTTGTTAATGTATCTTTGTTAACTAGTGATAAAATTATACAACATATGAAATGTGGACAAAACACATCTAACAGTATATAATGCACAAAACAGGACGCACACTCTCTCTCACTCGGATGTGCACGCTCAAATCTGTGCACTCAAATCTATAGAATTGCCTTCTCTCCTGGAATTGATGTTGCCAGAAGCCCATCAACCACCAGACTTCCATGACTGACTGATGAAATAACAAGAGTAAAAAAATTACGGATCAATCCTTGTTAGCATTTTCAAGCTGATTTTGGTCAGTGAATTCTCGTGATTTATTTTATTACTTAGCCTAATAGTTATTTGAATTTTGCATTAATGTGCTGATTTTGACAGCACTATTTTACATATATATATATATATATATATTAGGGCTGTCAATCGATTAAAATATTTAATCGCGATTAATTGCATGATTGTCATGAGTTAAAACGTGATTAATCGCAACGTAATCACACATTTTTATCTGTTCTAAGTGTACCTTGAATACTTTTCCATTTTTTAAAACTCTAATCAACATGGGCATGGACAAATATGGATGCTTTATGCAAATGTATGTTTATTATTAGTGAAACCATACTCAACATAGAGCATGAAGACTAGACATGTTTCATAGGTCATAGATGTTTTTCTTGTTCATGTCTATTAGACACATGAAAAAAGAACATAGAAATACCAGGTTCCCATTACTTCTCTTTCTTTGCACTGAGCAATTTACTTACACAAGCCTGTTTACATTATTTGCAGGACAGGACAGCTCACTTCTGAACATGCAAAATGCACCTTTATTATTTATTATTACATTTGTTTGCCTCTCTGTACCCACATACTCTAATTTGATGTAGCCAAATTCTCAATAAAAATGTTTTCATTGTTATATTTGACTGTTTCTGTTGTCAGACAATCAAATTAACATGAAATAGTGACTGAAACGAGACCCATTAAGATTACACCAGCTATGCCTTCCAAGATGTTAATCTGCACAAAAATCCTGATTTATAATCGAGCCGTCGTCTGATGAAATCAAATACACATAAGATAAAGACAATAGCTGTGTTGTGATTTCGACTATACTTGCATGTAAAATTAGAGAAGCAACGATCTGGGCTGCATTTCCCAAAAGCATCGTAAGTAGGGGTGGAACGGTTCGCGGAAAAAAAATTGAACCGTATGGGTCTCCACACACGGTTCGCCACGCACTAGGACCGCGGTTCAACTTAAATCTGACAATGCATCTGTAATATGGTTTGCTATAAAGATGCGCATTCTGGCTTCCCAATACATTACAACAACAGCGATGAAAGAAAAAAGTGGACAACCCATTCACTCTTGTTCAATGCAAATGCCGTATGCTGGAATATGAGCAGTCATCCCATCATAGCGCAGGTGAGACCTAAACAACACACGTTGATATCTGTGTTTAAACTAAACTCATTTATTAGGCCTTGCCAGTTTAAACATTTAAGAGCCAGAGGACGCGAGCTCGTGCGCGCAGTGAGAAGTTTTGTGCGTGCGCTCATCTGAAGCGCGCGAACCCGCGCCTCAGAACACGCGCAAATATTAAGCTCTCTCTGAAGTATTGTGTTTAAATGGACAAATTCACACAAAAATTATGTCAAAATGCCCGTCTTGGTAAGTATCCTATAGCAGACATAGCCGGCTGAACGTACTTACAGTGTCTTAAAGTGACAGCACTTTCTTAATATTAATCAAACAGCAACAACAAAAATCACTCACTGCTCTTGTTTGAATAGCTTTTGTAACTTTAATAAAGATTAATCTTTAATTTATACAGTCAAATATGCAATGCTGTTTTACATTTCATTACTTTATTCAATTTCTGTACCTAAAAACTAATGTTAGACCTACCAAAAAAAACAACTGAAAATCACTGTTTATTTTATTTGTATCTTTACTCTATTGTATTTATTTGTGCTGTTGCTTGTAGTTAGATAGATTATTCTTATTTTCTTTATTTTTATTTGACAGTATAGTTTTTCCCTAAACATAGCACATACCGAACCATATCGAAACAGTGACTCTAAAACAGTGATACAAACTGAACCGTTTAGAGATGAACCGAATATATATATAGGTGTGTGTGTGTGTATGTTTTAATATAATGTTTTGTTTTATATTAAACATTATAAACATTACATATATATGTTTTAAATAATTAAATAATGAATCCTTAAGTCACTGAGATTCTCTTTTCCACATTTTCTACAGCATGACCCTGGACCGACTCTTTTTTAATGCATGAAAACACATTGTAGACTGTAAAAAAAGAAAAGGGTTGACACTGACTTCACTTGAAAAGACTACCACGACAAAGAGCCCAAAACAGACTTGCTGCAGTAAGAAAGCAATAAAACATGATTAATCATTTAGCTTCTCTTTCTTTTCTCACAACTCAACACAAAGACACAAGTGAAGCTTTACAATGTGCTACACTAAACATGACAAGATAAGACATTTTAAAAGCTGCATCAAAAAAACTTCCAGTTTTCAAACTATAACATTAGCATAGTTAACATAGTTTATCATAGTGAGATGTTATGATAACGCGTAAGGAGCAAAGATGCCATATTTTTTATCTTACAACATGGTGATAAAGTGGAAAGGCTGGAAGGCCTGAAAGGGGGCATTCCTGTAGCTCAACCAGTCACAAATGGAGCTTGCAACAGCATGGTCATAGTTTGATTCCGAGGAAACACATGCACAAACAGAATGTATGAACCTTGAATGCAATGTAAGTTACTTTAGATAAAAGTGTCTGCCAAATGCATTAATGTAAATGTGTATGGTTTATTTGGCGATGTCTTTCACTCAGGCTAATTCACAAACCAAATAACAAAAAAGTTTGGGAGATAACTTACTGAACGCAGAAAAGAGCAACTACAAAAAAATGGCCAATAATTAGCTGGGACATTTACATGCTACGTTCACTTGCAAAAGATAATCAGAGACAATTACCATACCTTAAGTTCAAACCAAATACTTTTTTTTTTGTGAATTAGCCTCTCTGAAATTCTGAAAAAGCGTGACAGACATCGCCAAATAAACCAAACACTTATACAATGCAATTATGTCCTTGCCCATAATGGTCCGGAAACATCAGCGTTCTTATCCCTAGGAGCTCTAGTTAACAACTTTTTTGCAACACGCTTTCCCCGTGGGCAAACACAATGAGAGTGACAAGCCTTCAATAAAGCATCCAAATTCAAATGTTATTCTTAGCCTGGGGAGCACTGAAGCCATATTAAATGAATTCATATGAGACAGGGCCTAGAAGAGAATGGAGCAGCATCGCCCTTCCATATCTAGTGCGCCACCACACAGGGTCTATTTCATATGCAACCTTCATTATCGCCATAATCCCTGTGGACAAGCACTATTATGAATTGGAAAATGCCTAGATTTGCAGTTCTGATTAAAGCTTATGTATCGTGTAATTCAAATGCTTGAGTTGACAGACTGGAGATTGACTGGAGAGAATAAGTGACTAAATTCATGTTTGCTGAGATTTAACACCTTATGTGAGGGAAAAAGCGCTAATAGAAAACAGTGTATTAACTTGTGACGAGAAAATAATCTTTAAAACTGCCGTTTTCGACACAGTACTGTATCTTGCATGGTTAAAATGCAATGTATCCAGACTATTGCGTATGATGAATTACCAAGTGTTACTGTGCTACATTATTGGCTCCCTGGCAAGTGCAGTCTCTTACCTCAGGGTAAAAGGATTTCATGAATATTTTTAAGCTATGTACATATTGCAAATACGAAATTCATGTATGTTTAATGCATGAGGCGTGTTACCGTTAAACTCCGAACACAGCAGAGTCAGCAAGAACTTCTCTGTTTTAATCGATTGCATGCAGTTTCGTAGGACGCAGATCAACATCTAGCATAGATCTTGGAATCTTTTCAAGCACATAGCAGTTTCTCACAAGCATTTCTGCAGCGCTTCAAGAATTTCCATTCCTCATACTTTCGAGAAAAAGCTTTTTCTTTTTATGTTATGGGAAACCTCAAGGTTATGGCGGTCAGGTAAATTAGCGGTAATATGATGATGTAGTACCTTTTTCCTGTAGGTTGATGGCAATTTATTACATTCTGGATGAAGCTAAAAAGATTTGAAAAGATAAAACCCATCCTAGCTCAGAGATACAGATGACCAATCTCTCATAGTGACTGTGCACGAGCAGCCCAGGTGCTGTGTCAAAATGGCTGGTGCAATTGGCCTACTCTGTCTATGGCATCTGAACACATTGCTCTGGACAGCTCCTGGCCAAGCTAGTCACAATTCAATTCCCTGACTCATTCATCAAGTACTTGGGGTGTTTGCGTCACAGGCTGGGCCAGCTCCCCATCGTCCCGTTCATTTGGAGTCCGCTAATGATAAGAAGGCATTAGTCTGCCTCTGCCAGCTCATCTGAAAGGGCTGGAGAAATCAGGCAGAATTTGTTTTCAGTTTGACAACCTCGCCCCAAAGCCAGATAGGAGAATACTTGTATAACACACAAGTTCACCATTTGGTTGCGTAGTTTGCAGGTGAAGGGTGCGACGCAACTAGATCGCTTGCTTGCATCGTAGACTGGAAGCAGAAACTGTGCAAAACATTAAGTGAAGTTGCTCAACATGCATCAAGGCCATAATAGAGACTACCAAGTCATACCTCATTGTGTAGAGAAGAGTTCCGTTGTCTACCAGCCGCAGGAGTTTATTGGGTGTAGTCATATTGTGGGCTACTGACTTCTTGCCATTGTGGAAGAAAGTATCCGGAGTCCAGATCTTGCTGGCGAGCAAGTTATTAAGTGGAAGAACCTGCATAGGCCCATCAAACTTCAGCCTCTCATCCCGCCAACTTTGCCGGAAGAACACATCAATCGTGTATTCCTGGAGGAGAAAAAAAAGAATTAGTCAAGACTTTCTGACAGCCTTTTTTAAACTTCACTTCACCCCCAACTTTCCCCATTCCTCTGATCTAATGTCCTCTTAGAGAGAAAGCCTGTGCTGGCATGTGAAGCTTTTCTCCAATCTCGGCAAATTACTCTAAAACAGGAAAAAGATTCCGACTTTTTCCTCAGACTTCACATTTAACAGATTTTCCTGTTCGGTTGCCCTCGATTGGGCGAGATGCTTTTCTCAGTTGTACACTTCAATAATTCATCGCACTTTAAGGAGAGATGCAGCCTTGTTGGTGTGAGATCCTTAAGGCTCCTTCAAAAGTTCAAACTCGAATGATTGCATTTTCACAGCTGTCGCTGGAGGGATAAAACAAGCTTTTTCCAAGAGTTATCTCTCTGACCATATTGCTAACATGGAACAGGGGACACTGTCCTCGGTGAACCTCCGCTGAGCTGGGAATAGGAATAGTCTCAAATCCACAGTGATGAGTATCGCTCATGTTTTAAGACTTCCATTATTGATGAGGCAATCCTCTGCAGGTTCTCTATGGGAACAAACATCAAAAGAAATCTTATCTGCTTACATTTATTAAGTCATCCAATGCCATGACTAAAAATAGTGGCGAAAAGTTCTTCGGGAGTTAAAAATGAACGTTGAAATCTTTAGAACGCCACATTAATCATTGAGTGGGATCTGTAACTGAATCTTGTAACTGAGTATGTGACAGCAAACAATTACAGGACATGTCTCTTTTTTTGTTTTATGTTCTGCATTACAACCGAGAACTATAAGCTTTTTTCACGCTTCACAAGGCCCAATTTGCTGGAAAGATATTTGGGAAGCAACAGACGGAAATCTATGTTGCTCAGTCAATCAGAAATGTCAAGAAGCTCTTGCACAAAGGGAGAAAACAAGTCAGATAAAACCACTCATTACAAATGCCTTCCAGCCTTCAGCAGAAGGTTTTGCCACGATGGCAGGAAATCATACTGGCTGCAGCTCAGTGAATGACGGGTTGAGTTTTCAGCATTAAAGTATGTATACTTGTCATGTGTATGCCGGAGTACATCATTTATTTAGTAAGCTCCAGACTTCAATCTGAAGTTGTTTCAGATTCAAATTCTGCGGGTACTTTAGTTCCCAAGAAGTCGTCTGTATACCATCAGAAGTGAAAGCTGACACCAAATGACATCTACATCAGAAAGCACAGGAATGAGTTCAAGCAGGGTTTTCACAATCAAATTCAATGCTTACAATACCTGAGGAAATAAAACGAACACTATTTAATGCCAGAATAAACTCACACAATCTCAAAATGCATCATGTATCACAGATTGTTTTTCGTCACTACGACGGGCTGGGACACATATTCGACAAGGCCTTGGAACCTAACGCTGCTTATCAGCAAAACAGGGAGTGGAGCTGGAGCGGACTGATTACAGAATGCTTTGAGCGAGGAGGGGGAATTACTGTTGCTTCACTCCACTACTCTCACACATACTTCACTCAGAGTCCCTTTAACTCAGTAGAGTAAATCTAGCTTAATCATCTTCTGTCTTTCCATCCTCAAATGTAAGAACTCTTCAAATGGTTAATATAATTAAAGATTTTTTAAATACTATTTAAGATATTTAAGACATTTTACTTATTTTTAAATATTAATGAATTACATTTTTTTTAATACCGTTTAAGGAAGAAGTGTTTGTAGCCTAGAAATTCATTAAAATATATTGGGTCAGGGGTGTGTTGTTATTTATTTAGATTTGTATTGTACAAAAAAAATGCTGTTTCTATTTTGAAGTGAAAAGTTAAAGTTAGACCCACACAGTAAAAAAATTATCATCATTTTAACTGTAAACAATGTAAAAATGCTACCTGTTAATTCCCTTTTACAGTAGGCTACATGGTGAAAACCTGTAGGGGTGGGGATCTTTAGGCAGCTCACGATCCGACTGAATTCAGATGTTTCGTCCTGTCCTTAAGAAATAACTGTGTTTACATTAATTTCACATCATAAAAGCATTTTGTGATGCAAGTGCATTTATCCACTTACAAAGAATTATGCACAGCTGCAGCTGTGAGTGAGCATCAAAACGAACACATACAAAGCACACATGAGCATTTGAAATCAGCCATCTGTCAATAAGTGAGTTTCATGATTCAAATTTAAATGTTCAAAATCGATTCAGAATTGTTGTAGAGAAAATTAGGATGCATCTTTCTTTCTTTCTTTCTTTCTTTCTTTCTTTCTCCAGAATTATTCTGGCAACCACAGATGGCAGTTTTTTTTTTTTTTTTTTTTTTGTGATATCTGCATAATACTGCATACAGGCTTATCCATGAAAGACAATATTTCTCAACAAAACATGACCAAAAAAACAAATGCAAATATTGTACAATTTAAATAATGCAAATGCCCTCTGCTATGAATCCATCACAAATGACACTTTGATGGATGGTGTAGTACACCGCCACTTCTGCTCAAGTTTTTTTTTCCTTCTAATTTGCATATAATTTGTAATAATATTTGTTCATAGCGAGTACCTACAATACTGGTGTTCCCTGCATGTAGATGTTAACTTATGAGTCAGCACTAACATGGTTTCATAAAGTGACAAATAAATACAGAACTATTGCTTTAAGGCAGATTGGAATGGGACAAGAAACAGAAGTTTACTGTTAATGAGGATGATTGTGACAAGGTGTTGGTGCAGAACAGAAATGTGATCGGACAAGCATGGACGTTCCCGCATTACAACCCAATAAGGGTCATTTGCTTGAAGCTTTTTCAGAGAGCTGTACAGAGAGCTGTTGTTTTGGTCAGACAAAGGACAAACACGTGCAATAGAGATAAAGCACTAGATGTTAGTGCACATAACCTGATGTGTATATTCTGTAATCACAGCTGTGCTGATATAGAGCAACAGTTCGACAGCACAAGTGTTTGGAACTACTTCCTTCCACCACAGATTCAAATCTCAAGTTGACAGTTTAACAGATGAGCCCAAGCCTCTGTTACTAATTCAAAGTGTCACTTTAGAACTAGAATGGTACATACAGATTACAATATTTTTCAAGCCTAATCTTATGGTGAAAAAGGTAACTTATAGTGATGTATACAGAAATTCAATCAGTCATGGGCTTTACCAACCACATTTTAGTCAGCTGAAATATCTGTTTCAGCTAACTTGCCATTTTCAAAAAAGCACATGGCAAAAACTCTTGCAAAGAATTACAAGGCCCATTAGGATGAGCACACAGTATGTACAGTGGCTGGGAATCAGTAGTGATATGAAGACTAAAGTTACAGAGTTCAAACACTGTCAGACTAACTGTCTGACACCATGCAAAGGTTTCTAATGAGAAGTGAACTGCCTGCGAGACTGTCACAGCGCTCAGCTTTAATTACCTGATTGTAATGCAGTACTATTCCAGATACCTAGAAATCGCACATCTGTCAGACTCTGTTAGCAGAAGTGTAATTGGGAAGCTGAAAAACATGTCTTAACATGCCCAGTATTCCAGAGCAGCTCCAGTGTTCTAGTAGCTCCCACTAGTGATAGCTCATTCATGAACAATTACATGATAATCACATTGTCTACATTCACCCCCAGGTTTAAAATTTTTTTTTTTTTATTAAAATCAAAATGCAGACAGCGATTATAATAATGGTCCAGCATTCCCACGAGTTGACATAGGATAAGTGGTTTATAAAATGGATGTATGGATATAATGAGAATTATTATATAATTAAATTATGAGAAACATAACTTATTTTTTCACTTGTTCAATTATTCAATTTGTTCAATAATTTGTTCAGTCGGCAGTATTTTGTTCTTTTCGTCATATATATATGATTTGATATGATTTGATATTTTATGATTTGATATGATTGCTGTTTATCACTTTACATTGTGGCGGAAGCGCAGTGCTGTACGGATGCATTAAATTCTGACTGGCCCAAAATCTGCTGACTGGTTCTGAATTTTGGCAAACTATATAAATCTTTGGTGTGAAATATAGTTTGAAGACATAATTAATACAAACATCTGATTGGTGGTTTGACTACTGTATACCCTGCCACTGAATAGAGGAAAGGATCATGTTTAATTTAATATAAATTATTTGTAACATGTACTGAAAGTTTGCATTATTACTTAATGTAAACTTTAACGTTTTAATGACTGGTAAGGGAAGGACACATAGCTTGAAATAACCCACAATGCAGTTGCTATTTGCAGTCAACATTAAGAGAGATTATATAATCACAGCTTTTATGGGGACTGAGGGGAAAGGGATTTATTGTTTATTGTTCAATTTAATCACACTGCCATTGCAATGTTTAAAAAAAAGCTATTTTGGATATTTATGAACTAGATAGTAAGTCAGGCAATAGTTTGTTAAGGTCCTGACTACTGAGCTGTTGTTTACTCCCAGGTCAATCCTGATTGCTCTGTAGTGATGCATGTTTACTGCTTGTCAAATATTATTACTATCAATTTGTTCACTCAAAATGAAAATATTGTTTCTTCATTAGTTTGATAGTTACTTATAGGACATTATCCTCTTTAACATGTCTCTTAGTTTCATACAAATACTTGCTTCACACAGAGTTTAGCTCTGGCAGAGAAAACACAGTAGTATAACTGTACATCTTTACATGGTATTGCCTGTAACATGACTTTGTTGACTCTATAAATAAAGGAAAGCTCTGGGTTTAATCCAAGTTTCAGGCCGGCTCTATGTACGCCATCTGTGGCATGCATTGTCAGGCTCAACAATAAAAAATAAGGATGAGGATGAGAGAGTCTCACTTGCCTTTATGGGTAAGTGCTGTGTTGTCCTTGAAAATGTGTTGATCTTGTTCAATCATGTTTGTGCATTGCCAGCTCATGTTTATATCACCGCTCGCATCCAGTGTAGGCAAATTTCAGACATCAAATGACTGTGGACAGGGCCTATGGTGTGATGTATAATACAATAGGCAC